GATCAGACGACACTGATAGTATTAATACTTCCGGTTTTTCTGTACTGATGGCTGTAAAAATAGACGCTATTATATATATATATATATATATATATATATATATATATATATATATATATATATATATATTCTATATTCTATTTTCCTTTTGGAGGACTTTCTTAATTGAAAACAGTGATTTTGTGTGATGCTTGACAGGTTTAGCCTCTCTTTGTAAAGAAAATAGTCTCTTTTTGAACTGATATTTTATTTTAAATATTTTTTTTTTATTTATATCTAAAAAAAGATTCTCTGTAGGTGTGTATGAACAATGAGCATTCTCGAGGAATAAGAACATCTTAACATCGCCATTAATTTCCCTTCAAATATCTCTCAGGGTTCAAGTTGCATACAGTTACGTAGGTCTTTACTTTTTCATTTTCGCTGTTTATATTTATTTTATTGTATGTTTGGGTTTTTGTTCCAACGAATCTTTTCGAAGAAGTGTTAGATGAAAAAGCTTCCTTTTAAAGAATGCGTCCCGTCACTTTTGTCTCGGAGTTCTTGATAAGATCCAGAGACGGATCTGCAATGCAATTGGCCCTGATCTTGAATCTCGTCTGTAGTCGCTCTCTCACAGACGTGCTGTCGCCTCTCTCTGTCTTTTTTACAAAACAATTCATGGTAATTGCTCCGATGAGCTGCTTTCGCTGGTTCCCAGACTTCATGAATTCAAGCGTCCTACGAGGTTGGCATCCCGCTCTCATCCTTTCGCTGTTGAAACTTAAATGTAGCCGTCTCTTCTACTCCAATAGCTTCATGTCTCGAAACTCTCGCCTGTGGAACTCCCTCCCCCTTTCCTGTTTTCCTGATAGCTATAATCTCCAACTATTCAAATGTAATGTCAATAGACATTTCCAGTTGCCGTGATCTATCCATTATCCTTCTCGTACTTTCCTCTATAACTCCTATCTGCTCTCGCTCCAAATCCTCTGTAACCTCTTGCGCTAGTGGCTTCCCGCCTTGATTGGGGTGAAATACTTAAATATATATATATATATATATATATATATATATATATATATATAAAAAGAAATATACTTCTTCGTCAGGCCTTACGATTGCATTAAACAGTGTTCATATATATATATATATATATATATATATATATATATATATGCACCATAGCGGCTTCTAATGGATAGCGGCTAGGTTTGAGGAATCGGAGAGCAAAGTTCGAATTCCAGTCGAATCCATTACGTGCTAATACCCTTTGGAAAGGTGTGAGAGACCTGGATGGCAACTGGTCTAGGAGAAGGACATCTCTGAATTCAAAACTTGCAGAGGGTTGTTTGGGGATCTTGTGGCATGTAGTGAACCAAGTCTCTGTATTTGGTCCTTCAAAAAGTGTGGATGGTTCTGCACAAAACCTTCACCGCTATAATCAAATCTCATGTGCTGGTGTCAGGCTGTCGTTTCCTAGGAACTGAGCTGCTTGACCCTCATACGTCGAATACGATGGGAGTGTCGAGTGTATATACAATATAATTAATAGCTGGCCACTCGTATTCGAGGATACCTGTCTCTTAGGACGGCTAGCCAATCTGTACATTTGTGTTTGTTCAACATCCACAGAGCCAACCTGTGGTTTATACTGACACTGTGCTGAGCAGACCTTAATTACAGTTTCTTGGAGAGAGCGTGTTATCTATCGTGATCAAACTAAAACTCTCGGTCACGATGACTTGTGACTTCGTGCTAGCACAGTTATCGACGGTCCCCAAGGGTTCCGACTACCCAATTCCAGTCACAGAGCATGGGTCCAAAGGTACCGCACGCTGGGATCGCCCCGTCCAGACCGATAACACCAATGGCTTCTGTTACCAATTATAGACATTTAAGAATATTTGTAGAGATGCCATAATTGATTTTGTTTAGGTTGGGATTCAACTGTTTGATGTATAATGCTTCAAGGATTTTTAGTTTTTGTCTATTGTTTTCATGTCGAAGTATAGTTGTGTTTTCAACAAGTATTTTACGGAATTGTGTATGCGGGCTGGCATGTTGTTTTGAATGACTAAAAATGTTAGAGTTTTCATTAAAATGTAGTGTCAAGCGTCGTGTGTGTGTTCGATTGAAGAAATTACGAACATTATGTCTGCATATTTTTATTATAATCCGTTCACATTCACGAATATTTTTCCGTGTATTACAATTAAATAAGGCAAGAAATGCGCTGTAACAGTACTGTAATGTACTTGAATTTTGGTTTGAGTATTCACTATTTACGCATAGCTGGTAACCTCGAAACAACAGTATTTAAGAGGTGGTTTCCCGCTCCTCAAAACCTCCAATCTACCGATCAGAGTCCTTGCTGCCTGATGTAGTTTATCGTCATACCTAAGACGAGTGGAGCGATAGAATGAGCCGATAGTTTTCCAGCTTCCTTAGAACTGGTTATACTTGAGATCTTGAATGAATAAACGTTCAAAAAATGGAGAGTCATTAAGAGTTAACCGTTCATCATTTGTTGTTTTGATTAACTTATGACCATTTAGAATCTCTCTTTCGTGATTTACTGGCATTGTTTCCCTTGAACTGTCAAATTTTGGATATCATACATACTGCATACTCCCTCTCTCGGCCGTCTTCTCCCGGTCGGGTGTCGAAATGTTTTTGGTGGCGAAATTTTGTATAGCCCCTACGTTCTAAGGGTCTCTTGGGTGATTCACTCATATGTTGCATTCTTATCTCGTTCATCTTCCGGCTGTCCTCTCCTGGTCGGGTGGTCGCTAGTTGCTTTTTCTTTTAGTTCGGCAGGGAAAATGAGAACTTTAACAAAAGGGATTTTAAACTCATCTATTTTATTAAGCACGTCGACGTGTACATTTTTAACTCGCCAGTGGGGTTGCTATCCCACACCACTGGGGAAAACTTTCCGCACATGAAATTAACACGTCTGCATTCTTCGACGTGTAGATCTTAACTCTCCGAAAACACTTTCTAAGTCTAATATCCCACGTTCAGCTCAGTCAATCAAAATCGACATCCCTATTTTGTCTACCAGCTGACCCCTAGGTCAGCCTTACAAGGTCTGAGCCAAATACACTGCTACTAACAAAATAATAGTTTGAAACTATTATTTAACATAAGTTTTATTGTCGTTCAGCAGTCTTTTGTCTGTTTCTAACGATATTTCTGGAAGGCAGCTTTCCTTATTCAAATGCGAATTCGGATTTCTGAGCCATATTTTCCGTTAACTCTTACTGCATTGACCAGTACAATAATAATAATAATAATAATAATAATAATAATAATAATAATAATAAAAAATAAAAAAAAATTATCAGTAAAATAATAATAATAAAATTAAAAATTAAAAATTTGTCAGTATAATAATAATAATAAAATAAAAACATTAATCAGTATAATAATAATAATAATAATAATAATAATAATACGAAATAAAAATTTAAATTAATAAATCGCATTCATTTTGGGCAGCCTCGTTCTTAATAGCCGTTAGACATGACGTCACGTTAGATTATTTCAAACGTCCAGCTTCCTAAAGAATACCCGGATGCATACAAAGGAATTCTAACTTAAACACATATATCATATTGGTTCTTGATAATGACTGCGGGAGTCGAAAGTCCTTGAACAAAAATAACAAAATATGAACTTCGGATAATTTATCAACAACTTCAAGCAAAATACACAACACTTTATCCGAAAATTAGAAAAAATACAATAAAAAATTAAACAGACTTTCTTGGTTCTTTTTAACGAAACTTGTTCGGATGAATATCTGCTGTTTATTCAAATACATGGAGGGGCATTTTTTTTTCAATCATGTTCACCCAGCACAAGGCCCAAGAGCCACTCGAGGTTTACACTAACAGAATACATTGACGGCCAGAGAGACAAGCGGAAACAGCGAGAAACCTACCTATGGATAGCAAAAACACAAACGTTGCTAAGATTACAAGTGATAGGAAGTTGTGGAGATCTATGATCCACTCTATCGTGAAGTGACACGACATCTTGACGAAGAACAAGAAGAAGAGTCGTTCTTACCGTAGTTCTTGTTTTTGTCTTTTTTTTAAAATGATGTTCCTCCTGTACCAGGCTCAAAAGTCACTCAAGGTGAAGGGTTGCAGAATAAGAGGCACAGTTTATGTGGATATGGGAGGAAGATGGTGGTTGGTCCTAAAAGAATCTTAGAGTTAAGATTGTAGCTGCTTCAGTGCAACTTAAACCTTATCAATGGAATACGAAGGGAATGGGGATGGTTCGATACAATAGGCTGGTATGGTGGGTCTTAGCTGTAAAAATTCGAACTGGTGTAATTCAAGAATATAGCACTTTCCATGGAAATAGCGATAGATTAGCGAGAGCCTTGCGATTTTTCATCTGTGAGAAAGAGGTTGTAGTGTGGAAAATAATTCATCACCCACAAGGACGCGGAGACACTTTTGGATTCTATTGAGACTGGAAAGTCAAAACTGGGCAATAACAAACAAGACGATTACAATTCAAAAAATATAAAACTGCATGCCACCCAAGGAAAATGATCAACAATATTGGTCTGTTCATAGATTGATTAATTTTACGGTTTATCAACCATTTGCAGGTTATTTAAAGCCAGAAAACATTTTTTAGATTGTAAGAATTTTTTTATTCCCGTATAGCAGAAGAAGGTCGGAGTGTACAACGTCCGAAATGTCATGAATTGGAGAAAAAGATAAGGAAAGCTGCCCGAAAAAATATGAGTAGTGTAAACCTTTTACAAGTTATTTAAAGCGAGAGAAATTTTATATTCTAAAATATTCGGAGATAACAATGATTTAGCGATACAATTCTTAATAATTAACTCATAGCTGGCGGGGAAGTGGTGGATTCGTACCTTTTTCATTTTTATTTGCGCGTAAGACAGTATAAGGAACCCGACTGGAATTAAAACTCGCCTCTCTGATTAATAATTTTGAGCCATTATCCATTACACCAGACAAACATCTAAGCTTACAGCAGCCGATATTCACAAGCGGTCACCCATCTAGATACTGACCAAAATCTACGTTGCTTAACTTCGGTGATCGTACGGGAACCGGTACTTCGACAGGATGTGACTG